CTGCACCGCAGTGGGCGGCCGGGCTTCTCTGCCCGGCACTGCTCGCGGGTGGCTCTAGGCTAGTGGCGGAGGGAACCGTCCCCTTCTCCTCCGGCCCTCGTGCCAGGAGCCCCCGGGGCCACCCGCTAGGCTCCGATCCTGGCCGCTCGAGACACCCGAAGGCGAAGGGAGCCGGGCGGGGGGAGAACAGCTCCGGCGCTGAAGGCAAACCTGGGGCAGCTCCGCCCGGGTTTTTAGGCTGCTCCCTTCCACTGGCGTCAATGGGAGCGAGGAGCCTAAATACCGTTGGACCCTTGTCACGAACCCTTCACACACTCGTTCACCTGCCCAGACTCCCATTGGCTACAATTGCCCTACGCAGAATCGGGCCCAGCAGAAACCAGTAAACACGAACTAGGGCTGGGTTTTGATTTAATATGGCCTCCCAGCCCTATTCCTTTCCTTTCGCCTTCACTTCAGATCCCGCCACCCTGTTGTCTCCCTTCCTAACGAGAAAAACAAAGGTTTGAAGTTTTATGTTAAAAGGACAAATGTCTCCACCATCTGGGTTCATCCGAGCCATGGCACATTTATTAGACGCCAGTAATACGGTGATTTATGCACCAGTTGAAAATTCAGACAGTGAATCACGTGCCGGAAGCACGGCAAGGTCTGGAGGAAATGGACACGCTGCCCTTCCCAGTGCCAGGAGCCTGCAAAGGCCATCCCAGGGGAGAGGGCCACCAGGCTGCAGCAGGTTAAGGATAAGGGAGAGGAATCGCAGCCAAGCTGGGCTGCTGTACTTGACAGAAGAACCTGTGACAAAAGGTCCATCACAGCTGGCATGGCCCTGCCTGGAAAATCTCCAGAGACTTGGGCAGGCTTGAAGATCCTGTGGCTGGTGTGGAAATGGAAGCTGGCGAGAGCAGAGCAGAGCCAGCAATTGTATTGGAAACCTCTCTGCAGGGCTTGCTGGACAGGTCGGTTTGCCAAAGCTCTGGCTTGTTTTAATTTTTGTCTTGTCTACATGGGGTGAACCAAGGATCTGTTCCCAAATTCTGTGCTCACACCTGGGCAGACTCATTGAAATCAAGGGGAGCTGAGCAGCTGGACTCACAGGGGTGTGTCTCATCCCAGCATTGGGCCTGAGAGCCCCTGGGGGGTACATTCGATTACCTGCTTGTCATTGCTGCCCCCTGCCTAGTCCACTCAACTGAGCAACGAGCCCTCCTTCAAGCAGAGCCCCATGACTGGCACCACAAACAGCGAGCTTCTGAAAGAGATGGCCCAAACCCCTCCAATGTCACACAAGGGCTTGTTTTCTTTAGCCTGCTCTGAACGCTGCTGGCAAGGGGCTGTTTTCTACTGAATAAAGTATTTAAGCACCGACTAACCCACCTTCCTGTCCCAGAAAAAAAGTTTGAATGAATCCTTGGTGATCAAAGCTACTTGTGATCCTTCTGGGACCTGTCTGCAAACGCTTTAAATCTACTTAATGGCTGCTGTAGCCCAAATGCTTGGTATTTCCAAGAACCACAGACTGTTCCAGCCAGCAAGATGGATACTTTAAATAGGTTTAGAGACCTTAACAAGAAAACAAAAGGCAACCTATCTTAATCCTTTCCCCCAAAACTCATTTGGCTGCTCATAAAAAGCAGTGGCAGTGAGAAAGTCAGGAAATAAAGTGCCCTCTTGTTCCCTCATTATTAACATCAACAGCAAATTTCATATTTGCCGTCTTGGATTTCCCTTTTTCTGGGAATTTTTAATCCCAAATTCCCTTTTGGTTATGAAAGTAGGAAACCTTGAAATACAGTGACATTGTGAACTGAATGCCTTTCCAGCTGCAACTGACACTCGCTTCCAGCCACTGCCAGTAGTTTGTGAGCAGCAGGATATTGTTGCACAACCATTGAAGTGCTCAGAAACTCTTGAAAATAGAGGGTCCCATCCTGTTCACACTGCAGAGGGACAATTTGCCATGGACTTGAGTAGGTGCAGGGACTGGCCCAGAGACTGACAGAGTTCAAGTGTGCTCTGTTTAGAAGTAAGGGCAGGGAACTGGGTTATTTTTTCCCAATTGCATCTTTGCAGTGGGGATATTACTATTAATTTGTATTACCATAGCTGCAAGGAGCCCTAGTTATGAATCAGGACTTCATTGTGCTAAGTGCTGTACAAACACGGAACAAAAAACTGTCCCTGCCTCTAAGGAGTTTGCAATCTAGGAATACTTACTTCCCTGACAGGGCTGTTTGTGAGGTGCTTTGATAGCTTTGGATTAGTGAAGTGTTGCAATTATATATTTTAACATTTGATTATTATGTATGCAGCACTGTAAATGTGCACAGGGCTTTATCATAATGACAGTGTTCTGTGTATTTCCTATGGGCACAATTTTGATTTTTCAGATTCTTTTCTACATTGTCTCCTTTCTAATCAGAGTCTTCCTTCCCTTGCCCCATCCTTCATGTTATCACTGAGGCATGCACCATCAGAATCTCTGCTGTGACTGAAAATTGTGATGTTAAACACACTGACTTGACAGTGGCTGGCTTAGAGCGAACAAATGTCTTTACATGCAGAAATCTTGACATTGAGGAAAAATGGGGAAAGAAAGAAAGAAAAAAATAGGGAAAGGAAAGGGAGCCTGCAAAATCCATAGTTAAAACTCTTCCTTAGTATGGTGGGGAGCTCTGTAACACTATTCTTCAAGATACTCACTCCAGTGTTCGCATATCGGTTTGTAAGCCTGGGGTCTGATTTTATACAATATATAACATTCTTTAAACATTCTACAATAAAATTTTTTATTTGCTTACAACATCATGGTGGCATTTACGTTACACCCTTTTTAATGCATCTCTCAAGTTTAAAGCAACAGAGGGTCCTGTGGCACCTTTAAGGCTAACAGAAGTATTGGGAGCATAAGCTTTCGTGGGTAAGAACCTCACTTCTTCAGATGCAAGATCTGTTGCTTTTTACAGATTCAGACTAACACGGCTACCCCTCTGATACTCTCAAGTTTAGTTTTGAATAAGTTTATAATATCCATATTTTTCTTTTTTGTCTCATGTTTGTGTGTGCCTGGTAATTGTTACAATTCACCAGGGTAAAGTAGTAATCTGAATCACCACAGACTGTCATATTTCTGAGAAATAATTTTAGCCTAGCTAAACAAGCAAAAGAAAATCTTATTTTCAACAGAAACACCATAATTGTGTTTTAATATTGCTTGACATAGCTTTATGAAAACTCACCATTAACAGTACCAAGATGCATCACAATTTTTTAACAATTATTATGAAAGTCTTATTCAAACTTTAAAAATGTGTGTGGCTTAAAAAGTTTAGTACAAATGATCTTATTCTAAATCACAAGAAAAGTCTAAATGAACTCTAAATTGAGTCAATTCAGCATAAACTTGCTAAAATTTTGATTAATTCAAAAGACGCCTCAAAACTTCTATTTCTATTTATGAGATTGTGTGGTCTATAGTAATCTGAATAAGTCACACAACAAACAGAATAAGTTATTTTATTACAAGATATATAGAAGATAACATTTTCTATATTTGTAACCTAATTTCAGCAGTTTTACAGTGCAAGAAGTACACATCATAGGGTAGAAGCTACCAAAGCCATGATGTAGTATGTAAATGAAATAAACAATTTTCAAAATTAAAAAACAGAGCTTTAAAGTATCTACAATACTTAAGACATAAATAGTGCAAATTATATATATCTAGAAGTTTCCAAAACAGTTTCTTAAAGTATGTAATTAGCACAAATTGCTTAACATTAACATGTTAGATGTTTTAAAAATGGAAACAGAATGAAACACTTATTTTTTCTCTTTTTTCAAGAAAAACTGTCGTGCTTCTTCCCAGGCCTGGCAAGGGAATCTGTTAGACAGCTCAAGATAATCTTGGGAAGTGAAGAATTTTTCTGCTAAAGAGAAAACATAAAATTATCAAACTATTCTTTCTTAATATGGTAATAAAACAAGAATAAAAAACATGGGCAATTCCACTTGATTCACCTCTTTTACCTCCTATAAACAAAGTCCTTAAAACACAGAAAAACAGTTCTATGCTACTATGCATGCATTATTTTTTTGGTGAAGGGAGCTATCCTACTGCAGTGAAGTAATGGCAAGGCACTTACTGCGTCAGTCTCTCTGTTCCAGCTAAGCTCTGCTCCAGACAATAACTGGGCTTTATGCACCTTTGTGCTCCCTGTGTTTTGGCACCAGTCAGGGACCAATTCAGTCCCTTTCAGTTAAGCAGCTTTGAGACTGCCCTAATTTGTCACTGGCTACCAATTACTTTAACGGAGTCCCATGAAGGTGAAGAGATCTGCCCACAGAAAGCTCACAGCAAGATCAGGAACTTAGGGCCCTATCTTGCAAACTTTTAGTACTCCTTTCATAAGTACTTGCTAGTAAAGTTAATGGGACTACTCATGAAAGTAAAGGTTTGTAAGATCAGACTCTTCAACTACTGTAAACAATCATAATTCAGCTTCATGATTCAATATAAAAAGCAAATTCTACTGTATCAAGCAGAATGAAAGTCCAACCTTGTTTATTTAACGGGACATTATCTTTGAGGTTTAAAATGATATATTTAAAAAATGATCCTGATTATGTTGTTAATCATACCTTAGACTGTTATAATTGGAATTAGTTTAGAAATCAAACTCACCTGTCACCATGTATTTTTGCCTTTCATTCAGTTTGGACAATGAAAATAAAATAGTTCATTTTCTCTTTGGTTTTTAGTTTGTTTCACTTGCAGGTTCTTATGCATAAACACAATGCTGTAATGTCTGCAGCAAAGTGTTTGTTTCAAATCAAACCAAAAATGTTTTAATTGATATTAAAAAGTATCATGAAACTGCTATAATATCTGATTTTGTAAACATTTTTTAAAAACTCAAAGCCTTAATTTTGCACCTAGACTGCCTAACAGTATCCTGTTAAATATACTGCAATGTGTTAACTGGTTATCACCGTGAATCACTTCTTGGTGGCTGAAATACAAAAAGACTATAAAAGGGTCCACTGTACTGTATGCTGAATATGGAGAACCCGAAATGAGCTCCTGAGTCACTCGCACATCTGAATCTCAAGTCAGTCTACTAGGCAATGGCTGTCTCAGATGAACATCTTTCAAAAATTTAGCTTGCAGGTTAATCATGTTCCACATTCCAAAGGTATTTACAAGCACAGGAAAACAATGCAGTAACCTTTTACAAACCGATACAGTGCTTATGCATATAATCACAGGAGAATATTTTATTAATAGTTTCCGGCCATTGTCTGGGGGGCTATTGGGGTGCATTGAAAATCTTCATGTGGCTCCAGTGACTTAAAACCCCTGAATAGAGAGGTACTAACATGAGTAAATGTATGCACGTTTAAGTGTTTGCAGGATACACTAACACAGGAGTAGGCAACCTATGGCACGCGTGCTGAAGGCGGCACGTGAGCTGATTTTCAGTGGCACTCACACTGCCTGGGTCCTGGGCACTGGTCTGGGGGGCTCTGCATTTTAATTTAATTTTAAATGAAGCTTCTTAAACATTTTAAAAACCTTATTTACTTTACATACAACAATAGTTTAGTTATATATTATAGACTTAGAGAAAGAGATCTTCTAAAAACGTTAAAATGTATTGATTGGCACGCAAAACCTTAAATTAGAGTGAATAAATGAAGACTCGGCACACCACTTCTGAAAGGTTGCCGACCCCAGCACTAACACATCACACTGCATTTAACAAGATCTACATTCTGAACTTCTGATGCTACAAGCAGTAAAACTACAAGTTACAAGTCATGTAAATAACTTAGGCTAAAAGAGTCTCCCTAAATATATGATGTCATTTTGTTGTTTACTGCTATTTTTTTTTATTGTGAGGGCAGATACCATGAGCTAATCACAGTAAAATCAAGATCTTCCACATTTTTGTTATGTAATTGTTAAGTTGGTAAATTTCACTGGAGACATACCCTTTTGTTGAGAAGACTGGTTATCTGTTTGGCCTGAATTCTGTGTGAAATCCTATAAAATAAAACAAATGTTATTTACTACTATATACTACAAATACTACTATATGAAGAAGTAAAAAAGAGATGAGATTTAATTTTTCATAGTTACAAGAAAATATAATCCTTCTAATGAAACCTGTGAATGAATAAACTTAGATCTGTTTGTTATAAAGAAATAACAAAATACTGTTAACATTTAAATCATATTATATGCAGTTGATTTTAATAACACTTTCCAGAAAAATGCCTTTATTTTGTGCAAGAACACCTTCTTATGAAATTAGGACCACTTCTTATTATATGATTTTTAACTTTAACAAAACTCTAGCTACCGCTGCATTTCTTTAAAACAGAAGTCTTCTCAGATTTATATTTTCCACTTTGTATAATATATGCTTAAGGATTTCTTCAGTTGTCACTCACATATTACTAATGTTTATTATCTCTACCTACAGCAAGAGTCTGATCCTGATCTCATAGAAATCAATGGGAGTTTTGTCACAGATGTAACTAACTCTAGATCGTACAATAACTGACTGCACAATAGCAATAGATCATAATAAAATTTAGGTGCCCAATCCTGTATATCATGAGCCCTGTTTGTAGTCTTTTGCTTACGTAAGGCTTGATCTCGCACCCAGTGAAGTCTGAACTTTGCCATTGATTTCAATGGAAGCAGACTCATGCCCTTAAGTAGCCAGTAGGATTACTCAAGTCAGTAGTAAGGGCTTTCAGGATCAGGCCCTTCATTTAAGTATCTGTCAAACATAGCTGATATTTTTGATTCATGCTGATATATTCTCTAAGAGCAATGATTTATCAAATCACATATATTCTGTTAAATAATATTTTGATCTATTTTAACACATTGCATCCAGATTTAGAAACAACAAAAATAACTAGGATGATGTAGAGTGTGGAAAGAATTCTGTTTCTTGGGTGATGTTAAATGTATAGCTGTAAAGTCCGATTGAATCATTTTCCTCTTCTGAGATAGCCTTGTACACATTTCTAAAACACAACTATATTTTAATGACTTTTTTTACGATATATATTTGTATATATCCAAATATTGTATATATCCAATATATTTGCCAAATATTCAAATAACCAGAAGAATTTCTTTTTGCATTTCCTAGCATAAAGGATCCTGTTCTCTAATGAGGTAGGCAGATCCTAAAGTCCAAACTCAGATAAAACTCCCATTAAAGCAAATGGTAGATTTACCTGAGTAAGGACCGCAGAGTCTGTCTCCTGATGACAGTAAGTTGACATATAAATATAAATGTAAATCTGTTGTTTCCTTATTGATATCTGAAAATTCCTTCACTTTTACAGTACTTATTATGTGCGTTAAACATTTCGGGCCAGATTCTCTGGTGTAAACTGTCATAGCTCCACTGAAGTCAACAGAGCTGTGACAATTTGTACCAGCTGAGGATCTACCATTAGATTTTTAATTTTGATGTGAAAACATTTTCAATTTGCCATTGGCACTTGACTTCAAATATTCCTATGAACTGCAAATCAGGATAAACAGCACCTGAATTAATATTTAATAAAGTAAAGCTAACCTTTGTAATTTTATTTATGCTGTGGCTTCTCGATCAGAGACCATCACCAATGCCAGTTTCACTCTTACAGTGAGAAAAGCTAGGTAAATAACTTTAATTATAAGGATCAGATTAGTGTCTGGAGTAATTTTTCCCCCCTCCCCTTCTGGTTGAGGAAACTGCTGTTTGCATGTGATGTCGAATTTGTGTTTCTTAAGTTACGTCAAAGGCAACTAGAGATTTCATATAAGCATATGTTAATACTTTAAAAAACAAATCAAAATAAAAAATGAATTATTTTTTATATGCATACAAAAATGAGTTGGTTACAATAGGAACAATTTTTGAGTGTTAAATTCTAGTGTTCTTTGTAACAATTATGTAAAAATTTTGAGTATTCAAAATGATGAAAATATAAAGTTACACTGAAAAGCGTGATGTCATCTGAAGACTTTTTAATAATTATTTAGCTTTCATGTCCTCTCCCCAAAATATATCCAGTCTAGATTTGGAAAATTTGGAAAGCTTTTGAAAACCCCCCCAACAACTTAATTTTCTCCATTCAGTTGGTCATATATCATCAGCTACGAACAATATTGCTTTATCAACAATTATAACTTTCACTTGACTGCTACAGAATTCAATCTGTTCAATCAACATCAAAATATGTTTAAATAAAAATCAGAATATTTAGTTAAGCTGCATGTACTTTTTAATAGAAAATAGTTAATGCAACTTTTTCATATATATGTTTTTCATAAACTGATGAATAAAGCACAGAACATCAGTTTACAAAAAGAGAATACAATTCTGCAAACCCTTGTTCATGAGAGTAGTCTCAATTAACTCAATGATTTACTTACACATGTAAAGATTGCAAGATCAGGACCATAATATATATTCTGGTATTTTTATTTATGTGTGTATGTGTATAAATATTTTATTTATGTGTGTATGTCTATATACACACACACACACACACACACACACACACACACACACACACACACACACACAC